AAAACTCAATGATAAACAAGAATTTCTGTCTTCAAGCCTACCAATTGAGAAAATTAAAAAAAAAATTTCAAGATTTGGTTAGAAGTTGAAGATTGCACAGGATCTTTTGGGAGCTCCAAGGAAGGGAACTGAGTAACCTGAGATGCCTAGGAGGGGGGCACCTCAGCTGAATGCAGAAAGAGGAGTGCTATGCGCTGGCAAGGAGAGGTCAGGAGCTGGCTTTCCAAGCAGAGGGACTTCTACAGGCAAAGGTACAGAGGCTTACAACCTACAACCCACGGAGTATGCCAGGGACAACCAAGAGTCTGGTGCTGCTGGGTTAGACATGTGAGATGGGGCCAGAGTGGTGACAGGGCCAAGCTGAAGCCTTCCCAGGAGTTAGCACTTGATCCTGTAAATAATGTGTAGCCACAAAGGATTTTAAGCAGGCAAGTGACACATGCAGTCAGATCTGTATTTGGGGAGGATTGCAGTGGCTGCGCTGGGATGACAGGCTGGGTAACCAGACAAGCATAGCAGGACAGTGGCAGTGGGAGCAGACAGGGCAGTGCCATGAGGGGTGGGAGAGGGAGGGGAGGGAGCATCCTCCTCCCTGAAGTCGGGGAGCTGACCTCTGTGGCACCAGAGAGGCTGGGTCATTAGCATAACAAGTGCTGCTTGTGTACAGAGGCCTCCCAAGCAGACTTCCTGAGGGGACATTCAAGGCCAGGGCCCACATTAGCTTTGGCAGCTTGCTGGCTCTCCTCACTACCCCTTTATTCCAGACCATTAAGAGCCAGCCCTTTGGGAGGCTTCCTCAGAGCCTTTGTTTAAACTAAGAAGCAAGGACATTTAATTGCCTCAGCTAGACACCCTGCTCCACTCTCCCCCCACCTCCCTCCACACCCCCTCCCAGTCAGCACCCCAGGCCCTCCCTGGAAGCTTCAGTCCCACAGCTTGTGTCTTGAAACATAATCAGTGCATGTTCTGAGGCCCTCCTCAAATTATGGTTCTGATCTTTGCTTCCAAAAGCGGAGCTGGAATTATAGCTTGGCTCCTCAAGAAGTTCAAATCCACAGGGTCATAAACCCTTTCATGTTCTGTTTCAAGACCTTTGCTGGGGATTTTAACAGGTTTGCACCTCTGATGTTGTTACATGGTGGTTAGTCGGTTGGTTCCAAAGACTGGGACCTCCTGCCGGGAGGCAGCACAAGTTGACTACTTTGGCTTTTGCTCTAGTTACCCATTAGGGTCTCAAGCCTTAACAACTTCTGCTTTTTCTATCAACAGAGTCCCTTAAGGGAAGGAGCAGCAGGGGATGAGAGCTAAGTGAGATGTCCCCAAGGCAGATAGAAAGAGAAGGGTCATAGAGGCTGAGGTCATGCAGGCCAGTGGCTGCAGTGCTGGAGCTGGAGCTGAGAGGGCCCACATTTACATCTGGCTCCCTGACTGGGCATCTTAGCCTTTCTGTGCCTCACTCTCCTAATCTGTGAGATGGGCATTCTAAACCATCACTACATAAAAATTACCACCATTGATGGAAAGCATGTACTAGACCCAGTACTTATGTGAACTTTATGTCTTGCATTGTCTGATTTCATCTTCACAGCAGCTCAATGAAGTAAGTACAGATGAGGACACAGGCCTCAGGATGGTTCACCGACCTCTGTGTAGCGGCAAGGCCTAAGCCTGAACCTGTGGGGTCATATGTCAAAACTGTTTTTCAAAAATGGTAGTGAGCTGGCTCGAACGGTAAAGGGTTTTCCCTTTCAGAGCTGGACAAGGATCCCCATTTTCTAGGCCCTGGTGATCTCAGAAATGAGCCATTACAAGACCCCTACTCTACATACAGATAGGCTCTTTCCAGGCTGCATTTTCTGGGCTCATGTAAGGTCACCAAAAAAAGCAGCCCAATCAGTGTCTCATCTGGGTGGTTCCTCCTATAGTAGGGAACATACACCCTAGAGTTTTTAGAATTTTTTTTTTTTTTTTGAGATAGTCTCACTATGTCACCCTTGGTAGAGTGCCATGATGTCACAGCTCACAGCAACCTCAAACTCTTGGGCTTAAATGATTCTCTTGCCTCAGCCTCCCAAGTAGCTGGGACTACAAGCGCCTGCCACAACACCTGGCTATTTTTGTTGTTGTTGCTATTATCATTGTTGATTTTAGTTGGCCCAGGCAGGTTCGAACCCACCAGCCTCGGTGCATGTGGCTGGCGCCCTACCCACTGAACTATGGGTGCCACCCAGAATTTTTGTTTATTTTGAGACAGTCTTACTCTGTTATCCTGGGTAGAGTGCCATGGTATCACAGCTCATAGCAACCTCAAAGTCTTGGGCTCAAGCAATCCTCCTGCCTCAGCCTTCCAAGCAGCTGGTACTACAGGTGCCTGCCACTGTGCCCAGCTAGTTTTTATATTTTTAGTAGGTGACACATTTTTACAGGTGCCACAACACCTGTAAAAAATATAAAACACCTACTGAACAGTCTCTGACTGTTTAGAAGGAGTTTGCCAAGACATGCTGGATGGAAAAAGGGGAGAGAAACTAAATGTTCGGTAACTCTTATGACCCCATTCCTTAAATACTTAATAAGTATTTAATAAGTATTTAAGTAATTAAGTAATACGTAATTACTTAAATAAGTAGCAGGCTTCTGCTACTATATGTGCCAGGCTCTGTGCAAAGTCTGGGAAAGTTGAGAACAACACAGTGGTTTTTTGGATCCTCTATCTTACTCTAGAGTGGGAGACCACTTGCTGTGGTTCCAAGGGCCTGTTAAGTGCTACTGGAGACTAAATGATATTTATAGGGAGACCCTGGGTAGGAGAGAGATCCCCAAAGGATCCTGTCTGGAGCAGGGGGGAAAGGGGAAGAAGACAGGGATAGAACCAGCCCTGGAGTGTGAGTTGGGATTTCTCAGGCAAAGGAAGCTGAGAGGCTCTCCTAGATTATTCTGAGACAGTGCTGGATTGTGGACTAATCAACAGAACAGTGGCAGGCCCTTCCCTTCAGAGATTGGGCAGCCTGGTGTCTCAGACAGATCTAGGTTGGCATTTGATCTCTGCCACTCACTGCCTGTGTAACCCTGAGCAAGTTACTTAAACTCACCGATACCAAGATTCCTTATTTATGAAATGGGGAGGCCAAAGCTAATATGTAAAGCACCTAGGAGAATACCCAGAATATAGCAGGTGTTCAGTAAGTGGGAGTTGTTGTTGACAGTGAGACTCAGGGACCACAAATGTCAAATTGCCAGTCCTACGGCAGAGTCTAAGCAACCTCCCTAGGTGTGTCTGTCTCTGGTGTACCCCGAGCTCTCAAGGAACCCCTTCTCTCCTTAGGATTCTGCCACAAGTGAGAGGCTACCTGGAGATCCACCTCATCTCCCTGCACAGTGCTCAGCTGACTGACTCCCCCTCTGCACCCTGGACAAGGTGACAGAACAGACCCCTGCCTGGACAACAATGCCGCACGGTTCTGCTACACATCACCTTCAGGGTGTCGCCTACTGCATACTTCCAGATGCCCCAAACTCACATCCAGACAATACAAATAAGCATCCAGGGAGGATTTTTTTAAGCTTCATTTTGCCCGTGGGGAAACTGCAGGGGTGTGAATCCCTCTGTCCAAATTTCAGGGTAAGCTAAAGGGAGCAGCAGCGATAGAAATCCTTGAATTAGGGGCTGAGCCCACTGAGCCATGCAACCACCTCATTTCCTCTGGCTTGCATTTAATCTCCTCCGCACAATCCTCCAGCATCCCTCAAAGTGTCAGTGTCTCTCTTCAGATCTCATTTCAGGCAATTTTACAGTACTGAGCACCACCGATTAATGAGGGAAATAAATCAACGTGAGCAGCGGACAAGGGAAAACAATGGGGTGGCAGCCAGAGTACGCAAAGCCAGCCTCCTCTGCCCGGATTACCGAGACACAGAAAAGCCACAGGGGTCTACGGAAGAAGCTATTCCAGGGACGAGGCGATGGCAGGCAGACCCTGAAAGTCAACCGGTGTGATCGAAATGGCAAGGGGAACTAACTCTGAAGCCTCTGGTGGGGGTTAAAAAAGCAGTTAAACGTTCTTAAAAGAAACTATTATACCTGCAGCTTCAAGCATCCCTAAGATCCTCTCAAGTAAGGGAGAGAATTCCCTCAGTAACAGCAGAGGCTGGCCTGAGCCTGAGCTGCACTCTCAGGCTTTCCTTTTGCGGAGCCTCCCAGATGAGGAAAATGATAGGACACTGCCTAAAAGGCCAGCAGTCCAGGTGTGGCGACCTCGCAAGCACCTCGGTTGTATGTGGCACTAAGGAGATGCTTACAATTACTCACCTAGCTCCAAACAAGGTTCACGTTTTGGAGGGATGGCAACTGAGCCTTTGAACCAAGAGGGAGGCAAATACGATGATTAAAAGCAAAAGTTTTGTGGCCAGAGAGACCTTAATCCAAATCCTCACCTTCTCCCGTATAGCCCTGTTGCTTTGGGAAAGGAACGCCACCTTTCCAAGCCTCAGTTTCCTTATGTGTAAAACTCGTTTCCTTGCATAACTTTCAAACCCAAGTGCTGTGTTGTCCCCTGGGACTCTGGTGTACTGTGCAAGATCTATCAATTGCATGAAAAATCACAGTGTGGGGAAGTCCTGCCAAATGTCCCAACGCTGCCCACTCCCCAGGTGGACCACCCGCCCCGCTCTGCACAGGCAGCACCCACTGTTAGTGCTGATTTATGGAACAATGTACATCCAACTCTGATTAAATCCTGAGTCAAAACACTCACCAAAAGAAATATAATTCATTGCTTATCGCCTACTTGGAATTTTGTTATCTCGATGAAAATGAGACTACAATTCCATGAGCTTCGTCTCCTAATATAATTTTGGTGAAGCTCCAGCTGGAACAAAATTCATGCAGTGTACTCTGTATGATAGCAGATTTTCTTCAAAGCATCTCAGGAAGGTCCAAGACCCCATAGCTATCCTCCCTGAACTTCCCCTTGGGAAGATTTTTTTTCTCTCTTTAATGCCAGGGAAGAGCATGAACACAGTCTCCCACTACCACAAATTATGCAGTTGAGTTTCCCACATTTGGGGAACGGACAGGGGTCAGCACATCTGGATTGCAACGCATAAGCCTCGCCCTGGGATAACCACCTTTGTGATCTTCTGTGCCAGGTAAGTAGGCCTTGAGAAGACTTCCTCCTGGTCCTTTAGGCCTGGGCATTCTTCTGTGCCTGCCATCAGCAACAACAGACACCTGCTTCTCTCAAATGCATATAAAAGCATGGCAGCTTAGCCCAGGCTTAGCTCTGAAGCACAGTGAGGATGGACACTCTGTGGCTTTCTTCCCTCAGAAGAGGTCTGCTGCAGCAGAAGAGGGTGGCCCGTTAGCAAGACAGCTGCAGGGGCTGCTCAGCCTGCTGGGTTTGTAGATATGAGGGGCTCTGAGCAAGGACTACACTCCTAGCTGAAATACTATCACACAGTGACACATGTCATCATATCTCAGAGACAAACAGTCCATAGAGTCCTCCCCTGCATGGATGAGCTATAACTTGTGAGTCATTCCGTTAACTCTGCCCTTCAAGTGATAAACAAGAACACTGACTTATGGGAGGCTGAGCACCTCAAAGATCAGCTAGTCTGACTGCACAGATGGAGAGATGAGGACACAGAGAGAAAGCATCTTGCCAAGATATTCACTGGCAGCAGAGCCATGTCTAGGACAAGGTCTCTTGGTTCTAAGCGCACCACTTCCCTTGCATGGACTGCATTCATAACCATCTGCAGACAGATTATGCGTGCTCTCATCAGAGTTACTTAGAGTTCATGCTTTCCAAACGCACACAGAGATGACCTTGATCCTAAAGCCTGGAGGACAGAGAGTAATCATTAGGCTGCTAATAATCTCAATTTCCTCATTGGCAAAGTCAGAGGGTTACAACAGATGATTCTGAACAAACCCAACTCTGGCACTGAAAGCTTTTGTTTGACATAAAGTGGCATAGGAGAGGCAGCTTTGGGAAAATAAATTTATATGCAAAGTAACCTTGGGTAGAAACAAAGTCTCACTGCAACTCTGGGCTGTCACAGCTGTCCATCATGACCAATACGGAGGGTACAGTGGAAGTAAGGGCACTTGTTCACAGGGCTGCCTTACAGACTGGGCTTATTTCAGTCAGAGCTTACATTTTAGTAACAGAAATCATGGCTACCATGCCCTTTAAGAGAGATAATAAAGGATATTAAATAAAATTTTAAAAAAGAAGAAAAGAAAATCCCAATGGATCATGAGGTAGGCAGGCCTAACAGATACCTGGGTAATGTTTCTAAAGGATCTTCCACATCAGGAGAAGAAACCTTCTGCATTTTATTAGGAAAACAGTGAGTTTCCAATGTAGGACTGACCAGACACAGACCCCTAGAGATGTTTCCAGCCCTCCCTGCTCCCAAAGCACATGATATAATTCTCTGCGGTACGTGGCACACTGCATCCTAATGGCCTTTTAGGTGTAACTTCCTCTACTTGACTGTAAGCTTCCTGAGTACAGGATATGTCCTACTCATCTTTAGATCCCAGGGCCTGGTGCAAAGTAGGTACTCAATAAATATCAAGCCATTATCAGCATTTTCTATAAGCTGTCACATGTAAAATATAATCCAAATATTTTGTTGAAATACAACTGACCCATCGCACTGGATATAGTTCCTTAACCAATTCAGTTATCATGTTCTTTCATCTACCCAAAAGGCAATTATACCTGCTTGTTATCCCCCAGAGAGATACCAGAGGCCATGCAGTCAGACTGGGTGGCACGGTATCCGGCACCTGATAGGTAAATGGGAAATATGTGATGAAATGCATGTTAGAGAACTGGTTAAATTACAGGGGAAGAAGGGACACATTAAGCTCAGGCAGTTACTTATGTATGTAATAAAACAGTGATAGTCATTAGTGTAATTAACGTGTGTTTTTCTGTTCTCCAGACAGGTACATGGTAGAACTTCACTTCCCTTTGCCTTTGAATTTAAATGTATCAATATATTTCCCTTGGCCAATGGCAAATAAATGAAATATGCATGGGTCATTTCCAGGAAGAAGAATTTTTTTTTTTTTTTGCAGTTTTTGGCTGGGGCTGGGTTTGAACCCGCCACCCCTGGCATATGGAGTCAGCCCTACTCCTCTGAGATACAGGCACTGCCTGAATTTTTTTTTTTTTTTAAACAGGATCTAGCTCTATTTGTCATGCTGGAGAGCAGTAGCATCATTATAGCTCATAGCAATCTCAAACTTCAGGGCTCAAGCAATTCTCTGCCTCAGCCTTCCAAGCAGCTGGGACTACAAGCCTCTGCCACTATACCAGGGTAATTTTTTCTACTTTGTTGTAGCAATGGGGTATGACCATGTCTTGAGCTGGTGATCACTCCTGTCTCAAGTGATCTTCCTCTCTCAGCCTCCTAAAGTGCTGGGATTACAGCTGTGAACCACCATGCCCAGTCAGGCAGAAGCTTTAAGAGACACATAGTTTGTTCTTTTTCTACTTGCCACGAAGACTGGCAATGCTCTAAATGGCAGTTCCTCTAGCACCCTGGGTCCCAGAGTGAAAATGACCTATGACATAGCAATTGTCAAATAGTTAAGGGTAGGTTACCCCCCCTCCCCCAGGTGTTTGTCATGCAGCATAACCTGTCCTATCCTGACTGATCAAAGACTTTCTCATGTACCTGGATTAAAACACGTGAAGTTGTTTTTTGTTGTAGGGCACAGACATCATCAGATTCTGACTGGGGTTGGGGCTGCCTATACTTTGGGTTCACTAGGGGAGTAAACACAGAGAAAGATCCCCCATTTTGGCTTTTTTGTTTGGCCTCTCATTTTTGCTTTCATATTGCCAACTGTCTTTCATTCATACTTTGAACAACCATTAAGGCTACACACTATCTTTAAACAACTGTTGAAAAGGCACCACTATAGAAAATATAATTAGGGGACATAACTATGCTCTCCCTCCCCCCAGGCCCCAACTCAGCTGTGCTTCTACTCAACAGTACAACGAAGTTATGGAACAAAGTTATGATGCTGGGCAGCCTCAGGGACTGGGAGGTTCTCATGGGGCCACCATGCTGCTTTTTACTTTTTAACATGAAAACACTGCATGCCCAAGAAATGGTATTCTGAAGACCATTCCTTCTCTTCTCTTTACAACCCCTAGGAGAATTCCTCTGTGGTTTAAGTGCAGATGGTTTGCTTCCTGTCAGCACCCTCCTCCCCTCCCACCCCTCCCCGTGCAGCACAGGTGGCCCCTGACCACTGATCCCACAAGAAACAGCTCTTCTCAAGGAGGAAGGCAGTGGTACGCAAAAAAGAGGCCTCTGGGAAAGGTCAATGCAGTAATTATCACCCTGTTACCAGGGAAATAGAGATTTGCCTCTAAGTTCCTTTTATGAGCTCTAAAATGAAAGTGACTTTCACACTCTCTACTTTGTTTCTGCTTCCTCTATACAAGCAGGAGAAGAAAGAGGAATGGGGATGGGAAGGGAACAATAAAGATCACTGATGCTGGGCACTGCGCTGAAGGCATCTTCTCATGCCAAGAGAATAGGCATAGTCCCTGAATACAGGATTGAAAAAAATGCTTAGGGACACACAAGGAGTAAAAGGGAGTTCTAAGGTAGGCAAAGACAGGGAGAGGCAAGGGCAGGGAGTGAAAGAGAGGGAGAAGGGGTGGGGGAGGGCTATCAACTGAGTGATCCTGGCAAAAAAAGATGAAGGCCAAACCGAATGGGAGAATATGGGAGAGAAGTCAGAAAGAAAGAGGGGGGAAAGTAAGGCCAAGTTCATTTTTACATGGGCCAGCAGGAAGATTAATGTTGAAATTATCCAAAGAAGCCCCCAGGTAGGACCTTGTGGTTCATGTATCCATGTTTTCTGTTTTCTCCCCTTTTTGCACATCATATTCTAACTTACATTTTCCCGGCTCTTAATGCTATATTCCTTTCATTTATAATTGTTTGCTTATTACATATAGTTACGATAAGCCAGAAAGAAGGGGGCTACTGAGTTAAGTAAATATAAAGAAAAGTGAGTTACAGAGGGGTAGAGCCCAGATTGCCCTAAAGGGCTTGCAGGACCTAAGAATAATTGAAGTGTTAATCTTGGGTACTTTAAAAAACACTTTTGTGACGTTCATTCACCTGATTTGGTCCTTATAACAGTCCTGTGAAACAGGTCTAAATTCTGTCCTCTTTTTAGAGACAAAAACCTAAAACTCAAGAGAGTTAAGTGACGTGCCAAGTGAGTTAAAGGCTGGAACTGGGGCATCCTTACAGCAAATTCCACGGCTTCTCTTTATTCTCCAGCCACCCTTACAATATAACAGACAGTCCCTATCAGTGCTGTCCAAGAGAATTTTCTGCAGTGCTGAAAATGTTCTATGTCTGTACTGTCCAATAGGATAGCCACTTGCCACATGGGACTTTCGAGTACTTGAAATGCAGTTAGTATGACTAAAAACCTGAACTTTTAATTAATTTTAGTTAATTCAATATTTATTTATTTATTTTTTGAGACAGAGTCTCATCCTGTCACCCTCAGTAGCAGCTCATGGCAACCTCAAACTCTTGGGCTTAAATGATTCCTTGCCTCAGTCTCCTGAGTAGCTGGGACTACAGGCACCCACCACAACACCTGGCTACTTTTGGTTGCAGTTGTCATTGCTGTTTAGCAGGCCCAGCTCAGGCTTGAACCCATCAGCCTTGGTGTATGCGACCAGCACCCTTCTCACTGAGTCATGGACACTGAGCCTAATTTAAAATTTAACAGATATGCTTCACTGGTAGCTATCAGATTGAGTAGCCGGGTCTATATTCTCTCATGGCCATACATGGATGTAGAAGAAACAAGGTTCAAATACTGGAAGGTGGGATGGTATGAAATGAGATTAGTCTAAGAATGAGGATCGCCCTTGCTTTATTTGATGACGGTGGGAAGATCAGAATTAGGCACAGAGGGGAGACACTGGGGAGCCAGGGAAGGTTTACTGGGGGTCCTTCCATGAACCATGGTCCAGCCTCTGGAGGCACCACAGACCCCCAAGCTCTGGGTAGAGAATCTCTAGCAATTGCCTCAGAGGTCATGCAGTGGTTAGCCAAGGCCAGGAAAGAGAACTTTTGGAGGACTAGA